TTCTTGGTGGTTCATTTTCCTTCAGCTTATACAGCTTGCAACCCTAATAGTTTACCTGCAGACCTCTGGTTATGCTGAATGAGTGGCAGAAACATAACCCGGTTCATGAATATCTCTGCTGAAAAAGACTGGACCAGAGGTTACAGCGTTACTAGACTTTAGTTACCAGTGCAGTACCGTGTCATGTGTTACTGTCACCAAACTTTGTGGGTTTTTTGCTCAGTTCATATAACAGACAGTATTTCAGAAAGGGAGTATTTCTTTGCACGTTTCTGTGCACACACAGAGCTAACACTCCTTGCATCATGAACTGAACTTCTCCTGGGAAAGCACACAGCTTTGGGGTTTCGTCCCTTGTCCTCTTTTTATTCCCTCATTGTAGCCTGTCATTAGTAGGAGAAAAGGAGCCTCTTACCAACAAGTCAGTCTGAGTTCAGCATTGATCGATACACCTTCAAATACTTCTTCAAGCTTGCAAGAGGATGCTTATCAATCTTTCCTGCTGCGGTATTTCTAATCAGGCAGTACAGGTAGTCGAAAGTTCACATCTATAATTCACCATGTTCCTCCATTTGTTGATACAGTCTCTTGCTGCAGAATTCTAAAATCTTCCTAACCTTCCTCGCATTTATTAAAAAGAACACTTGCCCATCTTTCTTTCCATTCTTAAGTTTCCAATATTTTTCATGTCCTTAGTGGCCTGGACATTGCAAATAAAATACACTGGTAAGGCTGCTCTGTCAATCACATGCCAAGCCTTGTGCCATACCTCCAATCTTTAAAAAGATATATATAAATTTATCATAGTTCTTTGTACCATCTTAAGCTTACACTTGCAGCTTCTGTGTCACATATCTTAATAACACAGGGATATACCAAAACTGTGAAAGTTATGAAAATGCTGACACAGAAAGCAACTGGAAGGAATATCATCCTATTTTGCACATCTTCAAAAAGGTTGTGGTTTCTCTTTTTCACTGCTTTGGCAGGCACTCAGTGATTAAAAGGGTAATCCTTCCAGGAAGGGTGAGTAAATGGAAACTCCAGCTGTGAGGGAAAAGAAAGAAGACCATGTTTGATATTGCTACAGACCATCAAGCAAAAAATCACAAAGCAATCTGGTAGAGAGAGACAGAAGACTTCTGTTTCTTTTTCTGAAAAATGTAACAGGCATTGACCCGATGTCCTTTATTGTTTCTTGAGATGTGGACAGCCAGCTTGAGATAACCACAAACAAGAACCAAATTGTTCATGACAACTTTGCATAAAAACTTATTTTAGCTTTGCGTTATACACTACTGATACAAATAATGGAGCTAGTTTGGCTATGAGGAACTGCAATCTTATCGACCTTGGAAGAATGTTCTCTCTTTTATTCGAAATAAATGAAAACTGTACACAGATGTTAGTAACAGTACCTTCTTTCAAATCAAGAAGGACAAAATAGATAAATCATTATCTGAACCTCAAGTGCTCCACGCTGCAAGGTGGTGAACACCAGCTAAACAATGCTACATGAGCTTCTGTTAAAATGATTGAGAATTGAGGCCACTGGAGACCACAAAAGATTGCATGCTTCTGATGGTGATGCTATTAAAAAGACAATAAAATTTTAAATTTAAAACAACTTGTAATGCAAAATACTGGTTCTATAAAATATTTATTATGGCTGTCAGAAGTTATTTAATAATAATTGTTGTTTATAAAATATTTCCATAGTGTCTGTGATGAGGTTCTCTGTAATTAATTTGAAACACACAAAAGCCTCCTTCTTTTTCAGATATTCAAACTGGCTTCAAATTACATATGGAGTTTTGCATATTATTTCATCTGAAAACACAGTGATTAAGAAGGAAAGTGGCAATGGGGACTCGGGAGTTGTGGATTCTGTCTCCAGCCCAGCTATGCTACTGCTCGTGTGCCTACAAGCAAATTACTAACGTTTTTGACCCAAAGTCTTCATTGAACATCTAATAGTGATGTTGCAAGCATCAGTAAACTTGCACTGTGTCTGGAAAGTCTCAGCCGGAGCTAAACAAATGCAAAGCGTTGCATATTTTCTTTCATGTATTTCTAAAATATGTGAATTATTTTACAGACATATGAAGTGTTTTATTTTTTTTTCCCCTGAGACTTCAAAGTGGGTGCATGGAAGTAGGTGTACACGTTTGGGCCCAAAAGGTCAAATTACATCCCTTTGCATCTATAATTTTTTAAATTAAGAGAGAGCTGATCCCTGGTATTGTTACTGCCAATAATTCTCTGATAGACTTATAAATTTACTGGGGGGAAACAGAGAGATGCGTTAGTTATAATTTCAGATATGCCAGTGTTGATCGCGTTGGACTGCCACAGAGAAGAAATGGGACTATATTGCTAATGAGATAGATAAGTCCTCAGCAGTTACAATGATACTCTTCTAAATATCTGAACCATCAATCATCAATGAAAGCAAACTGGTGCCTTGATGGTCTGGAAGAATCCCCTTACAACTGTCAGAAACCAAATCATTAATAACACAGGAATCAATTTCTGTTCCTCATCTCTGCTCAATCAGCAATATTATAGCAGAGGAGAATTGGGAAAGGGAGAAACCAATAGCTGACACTTGATCTCTTAAGATATAATTTAATGTCTTCTCTCAAGTTAAAGTGAACAGTAGCATGGTCCAAATTGCTCAACAGGAGAGACTATATCGAACAAGAAGTGAGAACAGACACAGAACAAAAGTGAAGGGGAAAGCTGGGAAAGGAAAAATTGATATAAACTAACTCGGACTTCTTGGCTGTAAAGGGCCAAGTGTGATATTCTTTATTAAGTTTCCCAAAGTGTGGCGCTTTTTAAGCCATTAACTTCTGGGAATAAACAATGGTTTAACATTCTATTGAAACAAAATTAAGACCAATCTACGAAAGACAACTTTTCCTAAAAGAAAACACAAACTTTAGCGTTATAACTGATAGACAGTAAACCAGACTCTAGAAATGCTTTGCATGTGTGTGTATTTGGTCCTTCCTAAACCACAAATGCTAACAAATAAATAAGCATTCCTGATAAAGATGTGGATTTGTCATCCTAGGTCCGTTTAAAAAATACAGTCTTGAAGATTGATCAGTTTTTTTCCCTTGTGACATTTCAGTTAAACATCAGCGGCATTAAATGTCTGGTGGTCTTCGATGTGTATTTCCACATTTCAGTTGCATCTAATTAAATCCAGATATATTAATATTTTCTCCTGTAATAAAACAATGTGATAATGGTTAACAATTTACTGGGGTTATATTCAAAGCCTTAATTTTTGTTTAGCATAAATGTTTGTCAGTCTTTTTATTACACCTTTGAGAACACCCAGCAGACGTACTGAGAGTCCCAGTTCTCTAGTGCTGTATACTGGAGTCTCCTCCGCCTGTAGAAAAATGGTCCCAAAATAGCAGGTAGCTCTCATCCCTACTTCACAGCCACTTTAGGGAGAGATGAGTGCTTCAGAAAAGGAAGTGGAAAATCGGGTTCTGCATCTTCAATTTAAAAAGTGTTAATTACCCTAAAGCCTTAGTTTACTTGTAATTGTTATGGTATTAGAATCCCTATCAGCTGACTCTTCTTTTGCTCCTTCCCTGTCAACATACTTCATTACACATTCTTCTGATGTCTTCCTGAGTCTCTTCCAATCAATCTTCAAGTTTAATCATCATAAGCCGGAAATGAGGCTGATTGCGGATCTTGATTCCAACATCCTTGGTCACAAAAATATGTCTTTTTTTGCTGCTAAAGAGTAACTGAAAGCATCTGGGAATGATTAGAAACTGGAGCAGTTGGCTTGCTACCCTGGAACCCACGCTGCCAGAAGGGGGAACCTGCTGCACACCCTTGAGAGAGACCCAGAGTACAAACCAGGTCAGGTTACCCGAGCTAAAAGTCACAGGTGTCCATCTGGAGGCCCGCACTTTGTTTTCTTTTACTTTGATACCACTTCAGCCGAGTTACGCTAGATTTAAAGACTTTCAACTAAGAACAGAAACATAGCTATCCGGCACAGATCATTAAAAAAAAAAGATCAATATTAAGACAAGGGTCGGATCAATGAAGGGAAGATTAACCCTTTCCAAGACCTTGCAAATGGCATACCATACCTGTTGGGAGAGCGAGCAGGAGGCTGCTGGTTTGTGCTATCCAGCTCAGTCCTTCCGTCAGTGTTGCTGATACACCTGCCCTTGATTAAAGCTCCTTAGCTTTAAGGGTCAATGATTATTGACCAAAGATTTCAGAGACTTATTTCAAAGCTGCTGCATTTTAATGTAATACCACTTACAGTATCAACATTTGGGCACACGCTGCTTTGAGGAGGCTTTCTTTTTTTTTTTTTCCTTTTTACATTATAGGCACCCAGTAACACTAAAACACACGGACACAGCCCGAGACGGCACGCCGTTTAATTTGCGCGTTGCCTCATTTCCGTGTGACGCCACGGCGCTACCGCAGCCCCGGGGAAGCGGTGAGCGCCCTGTCTGCGACCTGCGACCTTACGGCTGCCGCCGCACAGCGCTCAGCCTGCGTCTCGCGAAATGGCTCCCGAAAGCCTGGCGGTTTGGCCCTCCGAGAGCAAAGGCCCCCCGGCCCGGCGCCGACGCGAGCACTAACGTTGTTGCCGCTACTGCCAGAGCGCGGCGGCGGCCCTGCCCCGGCCCTACAGGGCGAGCCGGGAGGCAGAGGTGGGCCCTGCTGCGGGCGGGCCGCGGGCCCCGCGCACCGGAGGATCGGCCTCGCGGCGGCAGACGCGCCCCCCGCGAGGGCCGAGGCAGCCCGCCACCGCCTCCCGACAAGGCCTTCTGACGTCACGAGGCGCGGTCGGAGGCGTGACGTCGCCGGGCCTACATTGCCCGGCAGGCCGTGCGGCCCGCTGGAAGTGACGTCCGGCCGTATCCGGGGAGGGCGCGGAGGCGGTGGTGGCGGTGCGTGGTCCCTTGCCGTGCTGCGGTGGGTCGCGGGCGGGCGGCCGGGCCGGGGGCGGGAGCTCGGGAGGGGGTGGCGGTCCCGGTCCCGGTCTCCCCTGCCGCAGCTGAGGCGCTTCTCTCCCCGCAGGTGCGGCCATGGCGGACTCCACGCAGAATGGGCCCATGCAAGGCGGGGCCGGCGGCGGAGCCGTGGTAAGGAGCCCCCGGCCGTGGCGGGGCGGAGCAGGCCGCGGCGCCGGCCCCGCTCTTGGCGGGGCGGGCGTGGGGGTCCTGGGCCGGCCACGGTGCTTCTCCGTGGGCGCGGGTGCCCCTTGTGCTGCGGGGAGGGTCCTGCTGGAGCCGCAGTATGGCCGACTGCTCGCCCGGGTACGGGCAGGGGGAAGCGGCTCTTTCGCTTTCCGATGGAAAACGTTCTGTCGCTGCGCCGCCGCTCTCGAAAATGCCCCAGTCAGAAGTAATTCCGTGTGGCAGCAACTACGCGTCTGTAGTTGTATCGCGCAAGCGAGGCAGTAGGTGATGATACGAAAGACGCTTGCAGGTTGGTTAGGTTAATTTCTGGTTGCTTTCATAAAAAGGCTCTGGGGACATAGAGGAAAAGAGTGTGGTCTTCAAAAGCTGGTTCAAACTCGGAAGAAAAACGTTGAGCTCTTTCAGGTGAAAGAAAACTGATGTTTTAACTGTTAGCCACCTAGTAGCCAAAAGTATGCTGTGTTTCACTAGAGCCGTTCTGGTACGGGGACTGTATCAGGAGTGGAGAGGGCTGTGGTTAAGGAGAGCTCAACAACAGGAGAAGTGCTAGATTACTGTTAAAAGCTTTTTTGAGACCAAGAATGTGTAGGCCAAAACGATGCTGCTTTCCTTATGATGTAGTTACACTAACTTTTCCTGAGCCTTACTTTTTCTCCCCTTGGTAAGAATTGTGGAGATTCAGCCCCAGGTGTGTGGAGTGTATTCTGAAAGGAACCTTGAAGCAATAGATGCAAAAGTCAATCGGGTCTAAAGACCTTGCATGATAACATTTTTGAAGCTGGCTGTTTAGTGAGGTTGTTCTGTATAGAAGTACCACCTCCACAGAAGATCTTACCACTATATTTGGTTATAGTGTACAAAAGAGCCTTTTGGTTCTGAGGAAGCCTAGCTATTTTTGATCTGGTTAGTAACGTCATACGAGTCAAGTGTCACAGAACAAAGAGGTGCTCTTCACTTCGAGCTGTAATTTGCTTCTATTCAAGGTTGGGGAAGGACTTGCAATTTAATATGGAAGGGAAGAATGTTCATTGTATGCAAATATTAAGATACCAACTTCTGTGGGGGCTGGGTTTTTTCTTTTCTTCTTCTAATGTAGCAATTTCTGATGGCTAACAAGTTGGATACAGCAATGTGGATTTCCCGCTTGTTCACAGTTTACTGCTCAGCTTTATTTGTCCTGCCTCTTCTAGGGTATGTATTGTAATATTGTAAAATAGCATTAAAAAGTTACAAAATAACTGTGCTCCCTTTTCTTAGTGTTGTTTTTCATGTAAGGGTAAAATTCTATTATTCAGCTTACTTGGATGCTTTTTATCAGAACAGTTTACAGATTTTAGGTTGGTTTAAAATACTTTCAGATGTGTTTGGAAAATGTGTTGAGCTACTGTAAAGTAGTGGCAAAAGCATGTTTTTATGTGTAGCTATGGAGTAATATATTGAATTGTTTTACCTTTGGCACCTGTGGTAAGTCAGTGTTACCAGTTTTCGAGTTGTATTTTAGTAGTAGTGCTTATGTATGGTAATAGAAATGCTTTGGGTATTGTGCAATTGTGATGCAATTCTCAAGGGTGGAAGACTTCTGAGCAGGAGCTTGGTTCATATGGTAACATCTCCTCTGATGATTTGCAGGTTGCATGAAGCAGCAAGCTTTTATCAGCGTGCCTTGCTGGCAAATGCTCTTACTAGTGCCCTCCGACTACACCAAAGGCTACCACACTTTCAGCTTAGCAGGGTGTTTCTGGCCCAGGCTTTGCTGGAGGACAGCTGCCACTACCTGTTGTACTCTCTTATCTTTGTGAATTCCTACCCTGTTACAAGTATCCTTTACTTGTGTCATCCTGGTAATGTTGTTAAATATCTTAAAAACTTGATTCTTTTCATCACCTGATGAATGATTTGAAAAACTACTTCAAGCTAGAATATGTTTGCTATTCATAAAACATGCTTTATGTAAAATAGGAGAGGCTTATGTTGATTGATCCATATTCAGGTTAATCACCTCTATAAGTAGTACACTGCGGTCTCTGGCAACTTAGATTTTCTTTTCCTGAGACTTAAGTTCGGTGGATTTTATGACCCAGCCTCAAGTGATACTTTGAGAAGTTGGTAACTTTCATTTATTACCAGTACAGGGTTTATATAGGACTCCTCACTGTAAGCAATATTCAGTAGTAGCTTTTTCAGAGAAGTTATTAAACAGATAAAGTCTGCAAAAAAGGCTTACTCCTGCGGCTTGTCAAAGGTGACTGAAGAACTGACTTGACTTTGTGCATATGCTTAATGTCCTACTCTTAAAATGTCCTTGGCAGAGGAATGTCTACATTCTTGCTCTCTAAAATCTGAATGGCTGGCATGTTCCTTGATAAAGAAATGCATTTTGTAGCATCTCTTAATAAAAAATATTATGACTACATGTGTTTGATAGATTTTTAAGTAGTAATCTTCTGTGTCTTTCATGCAGAAACAATGCATTTCAGTAGAAACTTACTGGTGTGTAATAGCATATGTTGTACTTTGCATACCTGCATACACACACATTTTGAAGTCAATAAAAATGCATAGCGAAGAGGTGTAAGAAGCCAAGGGAAGAGCTATAAATATGGATGTTAGACATATATGTGTCTTAACCCAGTATAGGCCATTCCAGCCAACTTCTTGCAAAAAGCCATTTAGCTATGACTTGTGTGTTAGCATAACATCACGGGGAAATGAAGCACTTGTGCAGCCTATAATTTTCCTTATCGCTTGCTTCAGTGAGTATTTTTCCTGTTCTGCTGTTCTCTTTGCTTCATGCTGCCACATATACAAAGAAGGTTCTTGATGTAAGTATGATATGATGTATGATACCATTAATACTGTTGGTATTCTTGGGGGTTATAAACATGTTTGAGTTGCAGCTATGGTTTCCTTTAGCTAGACTAGAGGAGTTAGAGTGAAATTGTAGTATGGAATCTCAGCACAGAGAATCTGAGAAGTCTTTTTTTAGGTTGCTCCCTGCCACCCCACCGCCCCCTTCTGTTATGACTCAATGATATGTTGGAGTTGACACTAATTACTTTTCTTGAAATGCTATTCTTTGAAGGAAGCAAAAGCTGTGTAGCAGTTAAGTTGAAACGTAAGACATGTCTTTTCAAGCTAAACTGTAGCCTGTGAAATTTAATGTTCTATGTCAGTAGTAAAATAACAAACTGCAGGGTGAGGCTAGCAGGCAAAATACTTGCCAGTTGGACAATGGTCAATGAACTGCCTTGTGCAGCTTAATATAACTCCAAACTTTGGTGTTCCTAACTGGGCTATCTTGCAACCATAGGCCCCTTCCGTCCTGGTGGACAGAATAAGGCTCATGGCCGTCTTGTTGCAGTTGAACCTAAAATGGGTGGGTAAGGGAATTGAAATGCCTCATGTTTTTAATTGAACGCTATGTAATTACGGAGTTCCAAGCTTCTGCTAGTTTTCTTTGGGATACTAATCTCCATACCTTCAAAGGATCTAATCTTAAAATGCTGAAATGAGTTGTAAATGATAATTGTTAGTATTTTGATTTCTTTGTGCTAGAGAAGATAGGTGTAACTTGTATGTTTTCTGGCAATCTTTTTTTCTTTAAAGGCACGAAGTTCAAACAGTCTGCCCTTTCTGAGAAATCTTTTGGAGAAACTGAATGCTAATCAACAGAATATTCTAAAATTCATTGCTTGCAATGAAATTTTCCTGATGCCAGCTACAGTTTTTATGCTCTTCAGGTAAGAATTACCACAACTATTTTCATAATTAGAAACTTTCTACATAGGATTACTTTTTTGCAGGCAGAGTTCTCTGCTGGTCACAGATCTCCATTTGTATGGTTCTGGATGACCAAGGCTTGAACTTAGAGTTAAATTTATTTGATTCCTAGACTTCTCAAGTTGGTGCATCATGAAATCAAAAAGCATTCACTCTGATATAACTAAGCACCAAAACTCCCTTCCCTTTCATAGCATAGGTCACATTGTTGGGTCAAATTAAAGTTTTTCAGGCCTGTAAATTTTCTCCTACACCGTTCAGTAAGTTGAATTTTGGTCAGTGTAATAGAATATTAAGATCTTCAGCTTCACTGAAAGTGAACTCTTATTTTTGACTATTAGATTCCAGAAATTTAAGTGGCATGAAATTTCATTGTGCTAAAACTGTGGAAGCAGGAGTAGGTTATGTCCTCTACTGTGTTACTTCTGACCAGTGACCCTTGTTTCTTTTTTTTTTTTTATTTTTTATTCTATTTGGCTTTGCCTACTGTGCAGGCTGTTGAATTCATTTTGGGGATCTTGAGCCTATGCATGTTAGAATCCTACTGAAGTCATATAGGCATAATGACCTGCCAGTCACTGAAGTTTGGGTCATTTCCTTTTAATATTTGGAGGAGGAATAACACCCTTTGTTCTATATAAGTCGTAGCACAGTGAGAGCATTTGTCTTGAGTGCTCTCGCAGGCAGCAGAAGGGAGGCTTTATCTTCTTGGAAGTTGGTAGAATGCTTAATTTGTCTTTATCTTTTGATATGTCAGCTGGAACACTTCAATGCTTCAGCCCTGAAGGATTCCATTTCGTTTTAAGGCCACTTACCAACTGACAGATACACTCTGTATCCAGTATCTGAAACTTTCAAGTGCTTTAAACTTCTCTTTAGGATAACTTTTTTTTCTCTCTCTATGGAGAATTTAGTATGTGAAGTGTCACTACTTGGTATGTCATCTGGTAGATACTGAAGCTTATAAAAGATCATATACCAAATTTTAAAATTGTATAATGGTTAAATGCAGCTATTGTGAGAATTTGTTCTTTAAACTGTTTTAGAATATTAAATTGCTTGTAAATACTGCACAGGAGCAAGATTTCCTCTTTTTCCCTTTCTGTAGCTTACTTTCCTTTTCACCTTATTTTTTTTCTTCTGGGTAAAGATAACTGCTCGTACTTGAAGGAGCTCTAGTTACTGGAACTGTCATGTTCAGCTTCAAACAGAGCTTTTTAATATTGTGTTATATGAAGAAGCTCCAGTCATTAAAATTAAACTCATGGTATTTCTGTGCTTTGCTATGTATGGTTTGTATGCTACCCTTTTGCTGTTTTACAGCACTGTGATGTGAAACAGCAGCTTTGTAAAGTATCAAAACCTAATTTCAGTGTAACTGAAATAGTTGGATGTCAGCTTGGCATTAATATCTCAATACAGCTATAATAGTCTCAGTGTGTTCTGAGAAGTTTTGCAAAAGATATTAGAAGTATGGTCCAGATGGTCAAAGTGCTACAATTGGAGCTGAAGAAGCTTGCTGTAACTGGACTACTTATGTCAGCCAATTTCTGTGCTTGACCAGCAAGCTTCTTCTTAATCCTGAACAGGTGTCCACCATCACTTCTGTGATTCTTTGCCCACCACCAGAAATGAGGCATATAAAAAACTTCATAAATATAGAATCAATACAAGAACAACACTTTAACTGCTTCATTGAGCAGTTTTGTTTTATAATGTAAGTTTCTGCTTTTGTAAGTGTATGGTTATGTACTCTTTCTTGTCAGATCTAGATTATCTGAACCAATGTGACCCCAGTCTAGGTTTTTTTTGAGCCTAAGTAGTTTGCTTGCTTTTATTGAGAAAAGTCTTGATTTTTTTTTTTTGTCATTATTAAGCTCTACTTCTCTATTTTCTTACAGTGGGCAAGGGAGTCTGCTCCAGCCATTCATTTACTATAGATTTCTTACATTACGCTATTCCTCTCGGCGAAATCCATACTGTCGGTAAGCACTAAATTGATTTTCAAAGTTCATGTCTGACTGCATAGTGTTTAGGCATTCATAAATTTTTCATTCTAAAATGAATGTATAACTCATAATACTGAATCTGCAAATGGTAATTACAGAATGTGGAATACACCTGGATGCTAAAAAACCCCAAACCAGCTGATTTAAGATTACATTATTTCATGTAACTGAACTTTTCTGAAATGTACCATCATCCTTGAATGGGAGCTTTCAGAACATGCTTGTGTAATTAAAATTGGGAAAAGAAAGTCTCTTAATTGTTCTGTAACCATTTGCCAGAAAGATGTCCTTATTTTTAGATTCCAGGCCTATCTGAGGCTAAGTCTATACATGAACAGGCACTTATGAACTTGTGTAATGTTGACAGAAATAAAATCTGTGGATCTTAAACATGTTCATTACCTCCTTCAGTTAAATTCATAAGTCAGGTTAATTATAATTGAAGTAGAGCCTTATTGATTTTTGTTTGAAAGTTAGTCAAGCCAATGCCATTGCTTTAAACTTTGAAAACATAAATATTTCCATGAGGACTTGCTCAGGTCAGTGTTTTCTCAGAACTTTTCTTATGACAAGCGTTGTATAGCATAAGATTTTGTGAACATACTTTCCAGTCTGATCGCTACTCAATTAGAAAATGGTTTGCTAAATTACTGAGGATGTGGCTTTGGCTGCCATGGCATGCAAAGATAGGTCTGAGAATCGTAAACTTAATCATGTCCTATTCCCTACTATTTTGTTTAGTTTCTTTGTTTGTTTTTAACAACAACAACAATCTATGAAGGTGCTTTTCTACTTTCATATCTAAAAATAATTTAAGTCGTGCAATACTAAAACTCAGTTTCAGTAGAACTAGTTTATCCAAGATGTTCTGCTGACATTTATGTAGTTTTAAGGGGTGGTGTGGGTTTTATTTCTCATGTCTGTCTTCTCATAGTTGCTTCTAGAGTGCAGGGTTCTTGCATTCTGACATGAAAGAGTGCAAACACACAATTACCTCCCAAGTCCTTACACTATTTCTGATAAAGCATTACTCTTCCTTTTTTTTTATAGTGTGGGGTTTTTTTTCTTGGAAGTGGAATTTTTCTGCTGTCTTTATATCTGTCCTCAGCTGAAAGCTGCTGAACTAAAGTTAATTAAAATGTTGATGTTTAAAGGATGAGAGTTCTGAAGCTCTTGCAAGATACTGCAACACTGAGTTGATCTAAAGAACTTGTTAAGTAGAGTGTGTGTGGGGTGTTGAGAAAAGAAGTGAATGAAAAAGATTTAGATGATATTTACTTCTGATAAGTGCTGTAGGATTTTAAAACTCTCTTTAAATCTGATTTTTCAGGACTCTCTTCACTGAGCTGAGGATTGTTGTTGAACACTTAATAATGAAGCCCTCATGCCCTGTTTTTGTAAGAAGACTATGCCTCAGCAGCATTTCCTTTATAAGCAGATTGGCACCAACTGTTGCATAGCCAAATTTCAGGCACTTGTGTTTTGTGAACATTATGAGCAGCTGGCACTTCTGCTGATGACTATAAATTCCTGGTTTTACACTGATCTCACTCCAGGCTGTATAAAAATGTGTATATGCTTTTCTTGGAGATAATATGAAATTTAGCATATCAAAAGCAAGTCATGGAAACTTAAAATTACTGTGCTGTATTGCTAATTGGTGGAAAAAAAAGTAGCTGCATCCTGTCCAAAACATGCCCGGTCATACAGAATTGGTTTTTTAGGAATCGAGGACTGTTTGAGGTTGATTAAAACTTTAAGAAGTCTGTGCTCAGTAGGTTTATGTTAGTTGGAACTATAGCTACTGTAGGATGTCTCTAGTGGATAGCAATTGGAACACATACCTATGCAGTACACTTTGGACAGTATTCTCCTGCTTACTAAATGTATCTGTAGAACCATTTTGTCTAATTTACTATACTCAATGTAAAACTATGGCCCACTTAGATTTTAATCCCTTTTGTTAAATTCAATCAAGCTGACATAGTTAACACCTTTTCTCAAGGAGAGGCTATTTTTATTAATACTATTTAAAAAGAACTCTTCCAAGTTTCTACCTTGTGACATAGTCTTACATCATGTTGTTGGAAGAAATCTCAAGACTCTGATCGTGGAAAACTCTGTGCAGTTGTCTTGTCATAACAAGATGTTTTACCAAGCCAAATTGCTGACCTGTAGGCTTTTCAGACAAAGATGCAATGCTTAAACTTTTAACCACCTCTTAAGTGAACTAATCAATGTAAACGAAGTAACTTTTGTAGAATCATTGCAGATTTGTTCTTGTGTCCACATAAATGTGAGACTGCAGTAATTCAAGCATGTCAGCTTTCTAGAAAATTAATCTGTAGCTAGCTCTATATAAATTCTTATTCTGGTTTCTGAGACTCTCATTGTGATGGGAAATTTGCATAAAGGATTGCACCTGTTTAGGCAGCTTCTGAAACAAATGGGTGTAGGATTTTTTGGCATAAATCCTTCTGACGGATCTGAAGCTAGTGTCATGACTACAGAAGTGAATATTGAATTGAGTGCTGATTATGCATTTACCCAGCAGCTGAAAGGTAGGTTGTGGAAAAAGAATATTATCTGTCTGAAGACAACTTCTTTCCGTAAATTCAGGGCAAACTATTTGCGTAATCTTCTGTGGTTAATGTTAGTATTCTAATTGCATAAAATTAAATGAATTTCATTGGCCTTTTGTAAACTTCTGTAGCATTGTACTTAACTATTCTTCCTTGGTCAGAGAAGTCTTATGTGAAACACTTTTGAAAACAGTCTTGAAGCAAAGTATTTTCCTGTAACTATTGAGTTATCTTGTCTGTGATGTGGATATCATTCAGACTTGCCAGTTGTATTAGTTTGTTAGATCAGAGCCATGTATTTATAAACTTCATTCATTTTTTGCTCAACCTCTTGGTACTTATGACCAATTGGTAATTCAGTATGATATTCTTTGACTACTAGTCTTGCTCTCTGAACATGATTAGCTATTTATAGAACACTTCCACACTGCAGAAGCAACTGCATGCAGTAATGCTGTACAGCTGCTAAAGACTTGCAATGAGATTCACTATATGTATATCCTGTAATTTGAGGATTTTATAAAAACTAAAATTTCTACTGCAATAAAAGGAGTGTTAAATGTAATTTGCTAGGCTCTTCAAGCTTATTTTCTCTCTAACAGAACATACTGATGCTTGAACCTGGAAGTTGAGCAGAATGCTGTCCTGTGTGTATGTGTGCATGTTCTTATATCCCACTGCTGCTTGTGAATTGGGACATAATGTCTTGTGCATTTCTAAATTGTTTGTTAGGTAATCTTTGCTTTCTAAAGTGCAAAAATTTATGACCCTTTCCTTCAAAATTTAACCCAAGAATAAGCACTGCAACAACAGTTATCTAATCAGAGGAGAAATCTAGACCTACTTACAACCTGTTCAATTCTTCAGCACTATTCTAGACCCTCTTTTGTGTTACATGGTGTATTTTTCGAGTGGTGATATCAGATTCTGTTCAGCTCTTTGCACCACTGTGATTTAATATTTAATTTGGCCATCTAAATTCGTCTTGCATACTGGGAGTAGAAGGCAAATAAATACTTGCGTAATTACTGTAAGCAAAATAACATTACTTCTGAGAAAATTTTTGTGGCCTAAGACTGCTGTTATGGGTGCAGTCTACTGTTCCTTTAATTGTATGCTGTTACTAAATTAGAGACAAGTCTACATTGGATCTGATGTATTGCAACTGTAACTGAAGGATGCTGTCTTGAGATCCAACTCTGTGAATGGATGAGGAAGATCAAAAGGAGTGAGATGTCAATAAGTAGGGAGTTGGAAGATAGTGCCATGAAGTAAAGCTTTTATGTTGATACTGAATTTCTTGTTAACTCCTTCTTTTAAGTCTTAAAAACAGATCAAGAGGAGGAAGATGTTTCATAAACGGGATTTGATTTGATTTGGCTAGTAGTATATTCTTGGCTTTGCAAGGAGTTGCTTGACAAACGAAGCCTGGATTTTACTTGTGGCCTGGTAAAACTTAACCTCTCTGATGTGCCAAGAAAACATGGAACAATGGGGTAAGGATAACTTTGAAGGCAAATAAATAAGGCAACTAACCTGCACCTCTGCATCAACTTTTTTTTTTTACTGCAGCCTTTAGGTTGCCTCAGTGATAACACCGAGTTTCCTCAATGCTGGCAAAAACATTTTGTCCTTGTGCCTGCTTTCTTACCACAGTTTGTGACTGTTTCTATACTAACAAACACATGAAATGCTGGTTGTGTCCCGATAGCCTGAGATTTTTCTGGTGAAAATAACTGTATGTTCATGCTGCTGCACTGTCAACAGCTAGTGGTGATGCAGAGGCTGTAACAGAAGTCTGTGGTGGTAGAGAAGTTTTGCAGCTGACCATAAAACACCTGCCAACCCCAAATGTGAAGCAGAAGAGTCTTTGTCCTGCTGAAAGGTTGTCTACCTAATGTGGTAATTGTTTCCACTGGTATACATCAGTGGTGATTGTTTTCATCATCTTAGCTTTCATAAGTTGAAGTGCTGTTGCACAGATTCTGTGGGTAGACCTACCCCTTGCTGTCCACAAGCTTGCTGTAGAAGTGATGCTCCGGTGTAAGACTGGTCTGTTCTCACCTGTAGATAAATAAAGTGTCAGGACCCACTGGGTCTGTTGGAGTAGCTAATGCCAGTTGAGGTTTCTTACACACACAGTAACACTAATGCATCCATCCTTTCCTTTATTGTCTTTAACTTTATACTTTTATTGTCATTTTTGTCCTGTCAGTTTTATGTTTTGCTCTCTTCTCTGATGGATGTTCAAGGGGAGCAATATCTGTCAATATTTTAAGTTACATGTTTTAAGGATTTTTTTAATATATTATAATTATGAGCCACTATTCCAACAGTTTTTGAGCTGCTAACTATATATGTGATAGTACTGTTCCAAACAAATAACATAGCTCGTGATTTTGTACAGTCTGTGTTGGGCCTTTTTATCATTAGGCACTGGTATTGCAACATTTGCGGTGCAGATCCCTTTTTAATTAAGGAAGTACAGTTCCTGCCCATTTTACAGACAGGAACTGAGGCATGGAGGGAAAGACCACTTGCCTGAGGTGATGTAAGAGCTCTGGCAGAGCAGGAAATAGAAAAGAGTTGGACAAACATCCAGGGGAACTGTGATTTGTTTCTACACCACATATGACTTCTTGGTCCTGTTTCCAAAATGATACTTACTGCTGCTTACACAGTTTCAAAAAGTACTGTACCTTATGGTGCTCAGAGTAAGGGTAGC